ATAGTAGCAGCCCTACTTTTAATACATTATATACACCTTTTATAGGCATGTTCATCTAGCAGCTGAGGTTAACACAGTCTATGCATTCATAACATAAATGGAGGAACCCTTCCACTTCACTTGCCCTTAATAAAGCCCTCATTAAGAAGACAAACAGTATTAAGAGGACAAACAGTCTGACAGACTGAAGACTTAAAAATCTGTAACACAAAATGCAATGGAGCAGACATGATGACTTACAGCACTTCATAAAGTTTTATCATTTGTCACAATCTGCCACAAGGCTGTTTGTTTCCTTCCTGCATCGTAATGTACCGCAAGTACTTCTAATTTTAACCCCTAACTAATCATTAAGGGTTTGTAGTGATAAGGTTTTAATGATAACACATTGCATTAACAAAAGATCCAACTGGATTCATCTTGGTGGAAATTTTAGAGCAGAAGATTTGTTTATTTAGTAAACATATGTCAGAATATGTCAACAGACCATAAACAGATGATGTTTATATGATAAATACATTACACAGAGATAGTACAGGTAATCTCCCAACACACATTTCACACAAAGAGTTTAAGTTCTGTTCTTTGAGACAGCCAAACAGCGATAGCACTAATTTTCTATTGTAGGGGGGCTTTTTTTAACCAAAATGTAATTTGTTCTGTCACAACAAAGTCGGCACTTTCTGGGTTTTTCTCTACGTGATTTTTGGAACAAACAATCTTTTTTTCTACATTTGATGCTGTTCTTTGTTAGTGGATTTATTTTCCTGCTGTATTTCATTATTATTGATAACTCCTGTAATACTTAAGGACACTAAAAATGCACTCATTGGCCACTTTAATAGGTACACCTCACTAGCACCAGATTGGACCTCATTTTGGCTTCAGAACTGCTTTAGGTTTTGGAACAAGGGGCTGGAAATGTTCATCAGATTTTGGTCCATATTGATAAGATAGCATCACACAGCTGCTGCAGGTTTATTGGCTGCATTTCCCAAAGGTGCTCTGCTGGATTAAGATCCATGGAGGCTATTTGAGTACAGTGAATCCATTGTAATGTTCAGGCATCACATGGGTACACTGTGGTCATAAAGGCTTGGATATTGTCAGTAACAATACTCAGGTAAGCTGTGGAATTAAAAAAAAATATGCTTAGTTACTACTAAGGAGACCAAAATGTGCCAAGAATCCTCTAAGCCCTAAAGACGGTTTTGTTGGAAAATCCCAGAAGATCAGCAATGCATGTGTCTATGTTATGCATAGAAAGTTTTTACCCAGAGCTGAAGGAAAATCAGCTGCATGGTGATAAATTAATTATTTAAAGTTATTTTGTTAATTGGAATATTATTCACTGAACCATAAAAGTCATTCTGCTTATCAGACAGTTAAAAATGGCAGGACACTGCATAGATTTCTGTCAAATAATAAAACAGATTCAACGTCTTTAACTCCACAGGACCTAATCTTGCATACAGGTGTAGTTAACCACCAAATGGCCATTAACCAGGAAAAACGGTGTTTACACAAAGGGGAAGACAGTTAAACATCCTGCAAGGGCTGAATAACAGCGTTAGAAATTACAATCAATTAACGCAGCCCTGCGGTTTCAATGTCGAGGCGCAAACCATTAACTAGCTTGTAACCAGCAAAGGACTTTTCACCCATTTCCTGTCATCTCTCCTCTGCTGTTGTCTTACCAACCACAGAAAATAAATGGAAATGCATAAAACAGCATATTATAGAAGTACATCTCCATGCATCACACCACAAAGCGGAGATGTGATAACAGAGGCAACAGGAGTTAGACGATTTGAGTTTTTATTCATTTACAGGTACATGTGTTAAATGTTTAAAAAAAATGTTCAGCATAATGTGCAAAGATTTGCAATGAGGGAACGTGTAATAGCTAAACAGACCAAATGTTCCCCTAAAACATGTTCTCACCAGCCAAAACCATGTCCACTAAAACCTTCAAGAATCTGTATCCCATTTTTCTTTTATTAAAAGATTTTTTATGCATTTTTCACTTTGTTAACTATGTAAAATGATTTGAGCCCAGAATAAGTCACATCATAAACCGTGATCTAAAAACAGGGATTCCTAAAGTGTGAACTGTAGACCCATGTCTACTCGGTCTGTGACACAAAGCACTCTCAAGTCAAGCCGTGCAATAAAACGCGTGCAATACTACAATCCATTACTCCCACATGTGAGCTTAGTGTCTGGAGAAACTCCGACATGTCTGACAGCGACACGGCCGCGAGTACATCGCTCACTTTACTCAGGGGGGCTTCACCATCTCACTGTGCCATGAATACAACGACAATAAAGGCTTCCTATTCTATTATAGTCAGCTGAAAGCATTTTTTAATCGCATGTAAGGAAAAAAAAAATCACCTACACAGTTCACTAGAAAAGAGCTCTCATTATTCCTGTTTTCAAATCAGGGGGAGAAAACAGCTTCTCATTTCCAATTTTCATTTCTAATTTCCACAGAGGTAGCAGCTCAACAATTACTGACACATTCAGAGGATAATAATCTAATTAAATAATTGTTATGGCTAAAAGGGAGAGTAGTAAAATAGTAAGAAACAGTATCATTCAAGATCTTAAAGCATTTGAAGGTGATCTGTGTGTGACCTGGTTTAATTATTACTGCTCAAAGTGGGGCTTAAACCTACATCTTGAGACACTAAAGCAGGTATTGCACAAGGACAAATTAGCTTCTATATTAATGACATTAATGTGTGTAACACAGGTAATGGATTACAAACACATGCTGACACTTCAGTTTTATTTGCATTTCTGCAGCCAAACTAACAAATTGCTTGGATCAGGAGGTACACTGCTTACAAACAGTTTCTTTGTGTTTCCAGTAACAAACATAATGGAATCATTTTGGTTTAACAACGATGGACAAATGCATAAAAAACAATTAAATTAAATCTGAGCAGCACTGTTAAGAGCTGGTAAGCAGGTTTAGAGATTGGCGTCACCATATTGTATAACCTCCTGGCCTCGGGCATCTGCCTCTTATCAAACCACTTACATCTTTCTCTAATCACGCTATCAAAGTTCTGAAACCAGAGGCATTTCATTTCTATAATATTTCTTAAGCTATAATTTTCTCTGTTTTATTAATTTCACAAATTACTGCAATACCAAAATAAAGGCAGGAGGACAAAAGTGCCCACAATACATTGTTGCACAGTTTTAACACAGTTTTACAACTGACACCACTGAGGTAATATAACATGTATCAATTTACTGTCAGTAATATGTATCCTTTAGAGATTTAAGACATTCAGAAAGTCTAAACTCATCTTAAATGATGGCTAAAGAAGAACCAGATCTGTGACCATTAACTTTACGCTGATGTGTGTTATATTTAATGCTGCATGCTTGCATTTTTATTAGTTGCTCTGTGTTTTCTTACTCTACTGTGAACTTTCATGTTGTAATTTGTTGTGTGGGCTACATTGTTGCACATGTCACTTACAGACACACATATATATATATATATCTTAGACAAAATCTTTCTTTTTTTGCCATAATATTATAAACAATGTATTCTCTCCTCTTTTACTCGGTTTCTTTGTTTGAGGATTTTTTGACTGATTTCTGATGAATAAAACCCACGTTAGAGTGAAAAAGTTTTTTTCTGCATACAATTTTCACGTAACTGTCAACTTAAATACATGATTTAGCTTTCTTCAGTCACTAGATTGGTTCTTTGGGTCTGAAAACTAGTTTTTAGCTTATGTCTGAAGGTTCTCAGTCATCCAGGTCATCGTAGTCAAAGGAGCTTGCAAAGAAAAGCGTCTGGACTTCTTTAAGTTACTTGAAGACGTTTCACCTCTCATCCGAGAAACTTCTTCAGTTCTAAGGTCAAATGGTGGCGAGTCCCAGATATAAACCAGAGGGTCAAAAGGACCCCCTGATGATCCTCTAATCGCCTGAGCCAAGGTGTGAAACTGGGTGTAGGTCCCAATCAGCCAGAGTTTCGGATGAGTTCATTGTGAATGAACACACCCGAGTCAGCTGGTGGTGTTTGTGTTGTGCACCCCTTCTGAACTTTTTACATCGTGCCTAAACTAGCACTGAACTAATAAAAGCTCAGCGGAGATGAGAGAACCCACAGTGGAAATAAACTTGAAATAAACTGAATTGAAAACATGAATGGATGAATGAATAATTATATAAATAAAGTCAAAATATAAAGCTACATCGCAGGTGCAGCGATTTGTTAAAAACACGAACAAGCATGGAAATACAGTATATCTGGCAAAAACAGAGTTTGCGGATAATCCCAAACTGCTCCAATTGAGGTCTGGACTCTGGGGAGGCCAATCCATGACTCGTTGTGTGTGTTTTGCTATCCCATGTATGCTTTTTCTGCACTGGCAGTGAGTTTTGGATCACTGTCATGCTGAAAAATGAAGCCTTGGCAATCAGAGGCTTTCCAGATGGTATTGCAGAGTGGATCAAAATCTCAAGGTACTTTTCTGCATTCATAGGTCTATGTTTACAAGATCCCCAACACCATGACAAAGCCTCCACCATGTATTATAGATGGCTGTAGATACTCGTTTTGTACATCTCGCCTCCTCCATACATATGAGCCAAAAGTCTGGCATACCTCAGAGGCGTTTCTCCAAAGTTTTCAGCTTTGGGAATCACATTGTTCCAAAAATACAATTTTACACCTGTCAAACTGTGTTATCTTTGACATTTCAAAATTTGAGAAAATTTCTCATTTGATTCAACTAAAAAGACCTTTGGAAACCATGGAGAACTATTGCTGAAGACCACTTTAAAGATTACAAGAAAATCTGGCTCCTTTAAAGCAAAATACAAAGAAGTGGGGGCTGGCTCAATATTTTTGCACAATACTGTGTGATAACTCTGTTCCAGGATCCATATCATAAAGCAACATTAATCCCAAAGGAGATAAATCGGGAAAATCTGCTGACAGTTGCACAAAGTTTGGGTTTAGTGAGTCTAGCAACAGGATGAAATGCACCATCTGCCTTATGTTAAAGTCATGATGCCAGACAAGCAGAAGCAATATCTGATTACAAAGCACTTGGAATATCAGTCCAATTGAGAAAGCGAGAGCGAAGGAGAGAGAGCCCTTGGAATAATTTTCTTCCCAGCGAGGGGTCTCTGGCATGAATAATTTTTATTTTTCTTGACCTAAATTGATTCGCCAAAATTCTGCGAGCATGTTAAACCGATGGCTGAATATGAGCTGGATGTCCTTTAACTCATGATTTCTTCACTAAGACACTGTCAGTAAAAACAGATGCAGACCGATTACTGATAAAATGAAAAGTTAGGTCCTGCACTTCTTCAGACACCTGAAACTCAAATTAAGAGTTAATTTATTCTAATGCATGGACCATGTTTTAAAGGAGCAATTCATGCCAAAAATCACACATACATATTTTTTTTTGCTCTGGTCTGTAGTGCTTGGAAATATATTTGGAGATATCTGCCTTGAATATAACGAAATGGAAATCGCCTACCTGAGCAAACACTGTTTTGAGCTATTTCTTATAGGAAGTATTTTCTTTCTATTGACTACATCCACCAGGCAAAAGCTCAGCTGTCCTCATTTATATTTCCATCCAATCTTGTTGTTGCTACCATGAAATTCTGGCCATGGGTAGGTGGACACTTCTTATGCAAAGTGATGCAGCTTACAAGTTTAATAATTTAAAAAGAAAACACTTCCTGTAAGAAACTTTTTTTTTTGACTGACTGTAGAAAATGCTTAAGTGTCTGATTCACAACAAATGCTTTGCAAAAAAATGTCTGATCTGTTTACATCTTGTCAATTTTGAATCATCTGAGTAAAAAGGAATCTAGAACAAAACCAAAAGGAAACCTGCTAAGTAAACTGATAACAACATGACCTATGATCTGCTGAAATTCAGCCAGAAGAAAGCAAAAGTTAAGAGTTGTGTTTACCTGACACCTCAGGAAAAATATAAGTATCTGAAACACTGCTATAACCTTTTTTTCCTGTTCTCTTCAAGCACCTGAACTAAAGGTGTGAGTCCACCTGAAGGTGCCCTTGAAGAGGTTTTCAAGACACACACCATTCGCGCTCACAGCTCAATGAGACCACTTGAAGACAGAAACCCTCTGACAGCACGAGTCCCGAAAAGCTCTACCCGGTAACAGTGCGGACAAAGACTGTTGAAGTGGTGTTTCAGCCTGTCACTGTTTGAGTCGGAGCTGCTCACGCCTCCAGACTACAAAGTGACACTTTACAGTATCAAAGCAGACACTTGAGCATCCTCTCCTTTTCATGCTTTCCAGCACAGAAACTAAAATTAAAAACCAAAACTCATTCTCACCTGAGAATGGAAGTTGGCCATGGTGGTCGTCTCTATGTCCTTCTTCCCGAGCACCTCCATTTTCACCGGTGCGTTGGGGAACTTGTAGGAGAAGTAGTCCAGGAAGTCTGGGAGGTAGGACGCAGCTCCGTGGATGATTCCCATCACGAAACACGCTGCCTGGGCCTCGTCATCGCTGAACGACAGGGTCACAAATTCATCGGCGAAGCGCTGCATCTCTGCCGGAGAAAGGCAGGCCAGCTCCTCGTTGTAGGCGTGCACCACAGACGCACCTCCGTTGGCCTGCTGCTCGATGTGAATCAGACGTCTGAACTCCAGGCCAGCCGTGCCCGGGGCCGGGCTGCAGTGCAGCGGGGAGCTGTAGCTGAGCCTCTCTCTGACCACGGAGGAGATGGAGGTGGAGGTAGCCGCAGAAACAGCAGCATCCTGGTGGTGTTGTGCGGCACTGTGGTTGAGACTGCTGCTGTCGCTGTTCACGTTAATCTGATTGAGCAACTCCGGCAGACCCAGGGACACCCCTGAACACACAGTCTGGCACGAGCGGTGGTACATTTTGGGTCTGCCTTGCCTCTCCTTCGTCCGCTCGCCATCTTTGTGCTTCTTTTTCTTCTTCTTCTTGAGCTTCTTCAGAAGGAGGTCTTCCTCCGAACCAGCCTTGGGCTTCTCCTTAGACTCTGTCATACAGACAAGATCGTGTTTAAAATAACAAGCAGCTTTTGCAGCCTGTAATCTCTAGCTAAACTGATATTACAAGTAAAGTTTACTTTGAAACAGCTGATCTTTTGGCAACTCTTCAAAGGTGAGTTCATTTGCTCTGCTGTGTTATATTTCCATGTTTCTACATTGCATTTAGGACATTTACTTCCTTTTAAAACTGAAAACACTTCCAAAATTCTGGCATAATATCTAAAATAATGCATTTAGTCACATGGAAGCCACCTGCTTTTACATTTGAAATACAAAACATGTTTAAGGGCTTGAAATAACCTGAAATTATCCCCCCAAAAAACAATCGGTGCTGTAGTTTCTCACTTTCAGCTCCCCTGCCCAATGCTGGATTTTATTCCTACCTTTCTGCGGAGAAACCACTTCTCCGTTTTCTCTGGCAATCTCGTGGACAGGTGGCAGTTTGTGATTTTTCCACTCTTTATTCTTTTCCTTCTTCTTCTCCCTGTCTTTCTCCTTCACTTGGTGATCTGAGGAGGGGAAACGAGAGAGGACAGCGAGGTGAAATGCTGCTGCATCCATGCTGGGAGACATAAGTGACGGACAAACAGCTCCACGTGTGTGTTTATATATCACCATCTGGGCCCAATAAACACTGGGCCCGAGCTACAGTAAATTATGTAATAATGTCTAAAATGTGTTTTTATGACCAGTACTGCTTCGCGGGTGGGTTTTAATTTGCCCATAAAGTGTGTGAACGCGGTTCAAACAGGGCAGCCCGGCTGGGCTCTCCTACCTCTCTGTAGCATTTTCACGTCGCCGTTCTCGGGCTTTGTATGGCAGCTAGCTGGGCTCACTCTCTCCACAGCAGCGCCCGGGCTCTGCTGCGCTTCGCTGCTCTTCTCCTTGTGTCGCTTCTCTTTCGCTTTTTTTACTTTGTGGGGCGACGCGAGGAAGTTGCTGATTTTGAATATTTTCCGGACAGGGGTGGCGGGCACTGCGGCGGCGGTGGAGTGGCTCGCCTTGGCCGGGCCGAAACTCCATTTCGCTGGGCTCCCACAACTCTGCTTCCCGTTGTGTTTTTCCCCTGCGCACACCTCTCCGTTCAGTTTCCTGTGCTTCAGGCCCTTCTCCTCCACCCGGACCTTCTTTGGGGGCGGTGGGAAAATGTCGCTGGAAGACTGCGGACGACTCTCCGGCGGTCGCTTAGCTATCAGGGGTTTAGGGGAATTTGTTTTGCTGTTTGCTGCGAAATGCATGGAGTCCACGGACTCGGCCATCTTGGAAGTTTCTATTTTTTACGGTCAGACGTAACTGGTGCGTGAGAGACAGGCCGGGGGCGGGGCTTAGCGGGTTACGTAGGACGGAAGGAGATGAGAGCGCAGCAGACGGTAGCGTGTTTACGGGCTGCGGGACAACACTGCAGTGAGTGGAGGAGGGCCGCTGACAGAGGCGGCTTTATGGGCTTAATAATGTCACAGTGTTCTGCTTTGCTGGGCTGGACTATCAGCTTTACTCCTCCAACACGGGTGGAAAGGGTCGCAACTACCTTCATCCCACCGAAGAAAGAATTCAGTCATTTTTCAATTACCTATTATCAGAGGACATTGCAGCAGCCGCCAGTCTATCCGAGGAGCCAAGAAAAAATATTTTATTGTAATTTTTTAAAGTGTTCTGGAGCAATAGCTCCCCAGGCTTACTACTACTACTATTACCAAGGTCAATATAGCTAACTACAAGTAAATTAAAAACCAGGACTGAAAATATTACTTTTTAGATAGATAAAATAAATATAAATACTAGCCCTTTGAGAAAAAAATAAAAAAAATATTTAAAATTATTTAAAATTAAAACTAACTGAAACAATTTTGCAAACTTATCAAAAAATCCTTTGCCTAAGTGTTTGTTACTTTTTTGTTATCTGTGCTCAATATACAATAATAACTAATGGAGACTTGAGAAAGTAATAGAAACTAAAATAAACATTTTCAAAACATAAAAACTGAACTGAAACAAGGGAACCCAATATGAAAACTAACTGACCTCAATTAAAAGCAAAAAGTCCAAATGAAATAAAAATAAAGACTAATTAGAAATTACAAAACTATAATGACCCTGACTACTACCACTACTATTACCATTAATAAACACTTTAGTGTCAGTGCACGCAAAATAAAACGGATACAACGAAATTTACTCAGCTGTCATCTCAGTGTAAAACCCATAAAATAACCATTATGAAAAAAAAGACCCTTTCAAAGTTTTTCTGTGGACATTGGCTGCTTTTTCATTTTTTTTCCGATTTCCAGTCCAGTCCTTATACCATACAAAGATGAATGTTTTTGTTGTTGTTTCTTAAGCCACGTAACACTGACCTATGAATCATTCAAGGATAAAAGGCACCATCACTGGGCCTCCATTTTAGCCACACAATATGAACTTTTATTGTGTATACATATAACAGAAGCTATTTTTAAATTGTATATATAGCCAATTTTTTACTAGCAGTTCGCTGCAATAAAAGGGAATTTGTTCACTTTCCTTTAGTTGAATCTACAAAAAAATGTCAAAGATAACAAAGCTTTACAGGCATAAAATAGTTTTTGCACCAACGAAATTAAACTTAGCATCTTTTGCAGTGTGTCCTTAAAAAATATGAGGAAACTGGACAAGTGGAGGACCAAAGAAGAAGTGGCAGGGCTAAAATAAATTATGGATAAGTTGCTATACTGTATTTCCATTTTTATTCACGTTTCAGTAAATTACTGCAACTATGTCACCATAAATTACTAGTTTAAATTAGTTTTTTTTT